ATAATGCCCGGCAGGAATGGGATGGTGGTGAGGAGCTGAGGATGAGATGCCATGTCTGGGTCAGTGCTCAGGGCAGCCAACAGAGCTGTGCCCAGTGAAAGGAGCTCATAGGGGGGTAATCCAGAGGGCTCATCTCCTCTGACTGCTGTCACCAAAAGCCGAGCTGGAAGGTTGAGTCCCACGGCCTCAAAAATGCGTCTTAAGGTGGGTTTGTCTAGTTGACTTGCTGGGCACAAACGAGTAACCTAAGACAGAGAGAACAACAACAAATTAAATCACAGCGACTAAGTGCACAGCTGTTGATGGTGGCGACTCAACCAGCAAACTTTTAGAATGGTTTGGGTTTTATTTGAGTTCATGTATGTTGTTAAAGGGTCAATTGATACAAATTAAGTAGATAAAACCTGACCTACAGTATTAGTATGTAACATATATGCTTGTGTAACCACTCATACATAACACTGCCATTTACCAGTAGAAGAGCAGCCAGTGTGTGACTGTCGTTATTAGCATGCCTGAGTGCATGAAGACATCTCTCCAACACCTCCCTCTGGGCATCAGTCAGTCCACCTCCACCTCCTGCATCCCCCTCTGACACTCCTCCACCTTCTCCATCTCCGTGCCCCTCTTTTCTAGGAGGATGACTGCTCGCCACAGGTGTAGCGTCTGCTCTGTCAGCCATCATGACCTTGGTAACTACGTAGCTAAGAGAGAAATAACAAATTAGCACAGTTCGGAAAAGGAACTGAAAACTGAAAATAATAACATTAGCTCCACAGCGTTGAGAGTAAGGTTAGCCTAATTTAATGATTTTCGGATGGCTTGCTGAGACACTGGGTATTTGGTCCCAAGAACTTCACACTTAAAAGTTGAATTAATTAACGTTTGTAAAGTAACTTACGTTAATGACAAACCTCTCGTACAGAACAGCTCGTGAAAACCTTCCGGAAGTAAACTCTCCAACTAAAGCTCAAAGAAGCCAATGAAAACGGCCCAACAATATCAGTGAACCAATCAAAGGACAGATAGCTGGAAACCGACGACGCCATTTTGGTCCGTGTTGTAACGTCGGATCAGCAAAGTAGCGTTGTTTGGGAGGTAAAGAAAGACATTTTTACTAAGCTGTCTTATTTCTAGCACTAAAATATATCCGAGAAGGACAGCTTCACTAGGTTGACTGTTTCTGTTGAATTAACCCTGTTCGTCACTGATAAGTGGTCGACAGGTGGCGCATGGCGGAAGAAGTTGGGTTAACTGTGTTCAGTTTATTTTTTGAAACAGCACAACCAAAATTAGAATTAGAACAATTGTGTATGTAATATACCTTGCAGTGTAATTTTATTTCCACACATTTCTTCTCAGAGCTATTGTTAATTTCAACTATTGTGCTCATGTTTATTATTAAAATATCCCAGTGGTGTTGATGATCAGAAATTTATTTTGAAAAGCTAGTCATCGGAAGCATTATTTCTCACTGTGATTGGCTTGACAGTGTTCACACAGGAACATCAGCTGTACGATCTGGATTACTGACCCAATTCACTGTACATGGGATGACAGCAACGACGACACAACACATCACCGCGACCGATTGAAGCGCAAGACCGTTTCCTTTTCCGTGACAGTAAGTCATTTTGTACTTTTCTGTCTTTAATGGTGTCGTTATAGTTGCCATTAAAACGCACCGGATGAATCCTGCACTGTGTGTAGTGAAAGAGCCAGCAGCTCTTAGCCTCAAGGTGCCTTATAAACGGGGGCGATCCCGGATTATACAGGTGAATTACCTTATGGTCTTCTACTTAAACCAATGTATTTGGGTACTGGGGAATAAATATATATCGTAAAACTCAATATATTGGGTACAAAGTGTCACATTAGTGATTCCACCGTCACTCTTTTGTAATGTTTTGATAGTGCAGTGGGCAACGAAAGCTGTAGCACTCGGCCTATCTTAAATGATCTGACAGCTAGAGACGTTCTGTCTTCTGTAAATCCTGACGTTTTCTTTCTAAATTGGTAAAATACATAAGGATTCCACCATTTGGGATTAATTGTCTCAGTGAGATTAGTTCAGTGCATTTACTTATGCATTTTGTTTGACTGACAGACCCTCATTCGTCAGACAGTCATGCATTTATTTGCACTTTAATCAGCCAGTTAATCTCTAGTGTGTAAGAATCTATCAGTCTTACAGAGTAGATCTTACCTAACAACTATTATCATGATTACTTTTTCTTATTTATTAAGTAATACTTTACTTGATAAATAACATCCTAACATATTACCAGAGACTAAAGTATAAAAACCCTCAGTTTTCATCATTAATGTGAAAATGGTAGACCTTCACCTCTTTGTGAGGTTTTAACAAGCATCTTAAGGAATGACTTTTAAATTATACATTGACTCTTAAATGAATTTATGGACAATGCAGCAATGCAGAACAGTGCAATTAAGTATTTACTGTTGGATGGGGGTGCATTCATTTATAAATTATACCAGAATTAGAATAGTTGTTTCTCTTTGTTCGTTACCCGTCAGGATGTTTCTGTGGCTGTGCTATTTTTGTTGAGTTAAAAACCAAACAAACTTGATTTTCCTTCCCTGCAGCAGGCAGACGAAACTGTGCAAGGGACCTGGTGTCGTTACACAGAAAGCTCCACCAGCCGATCGGCCTAGAAGCCAGAACAGCACTGACTGCTATTGACTGCAGCAACTGAGAGAGAGAGAGAGAGAGAGAGAGAGAGAGTAAGAGGAGGAAGAAACTGCTATCGAGAGAGAGAATCTGGTCTCCGCAGATGTAAGGGGCTCTCAGTTACAGAGATCGTTGTTCTGCCAAAGCTTCTCAAGGGAAAAATAGCCATTGAAAAGTCCGTAGTGGCTGAGCTGTCGTCAGCCTAGGTGACCAAGTGCACCTGAGCGTTACTGCTGCTGCGCACACTCACAGTCCCCACCACCTTCTGGGCATTTACTGTGCAGTAAAAAAGGAAATCCACAGGGTTGTGACTTCAGCAAGGAGGAAAAAACGTGACTCAACCCCTCTCATTTTTTGGTCCGGATAGTTTTTTTTTTTTTTTAAAGCTTTTTTGGTTTGTTTTGGGTTCTTATCTGGGAGAGGAAAAACAAGCACACGAGGCTCTATCACTGTTTGTGGATTTGAGACTGTTTGAGCTGTTCATTGTAGCAAAGGAGGAGGCTGCTAGTGCTCGAGTGTCCATGTGCAGAAATGCAGATTCACAAATGGAGGCAGACCATACAGGTTTGTGTCAGCAGTTCATGTTTGTGTGCATGTGTGAGACATCTGGTCATTGTATAAATGACTGCATTCCAAATAATATAGCATTTAAGTGATAAGTGAATGTATTCCTGTAGGATTGTGTCTGGTGTATTTTTACCTGTATTTTATTAACTTTTATACATATTACCAGCTTAGATAATATTGTTTGAGGTAGAGAAACATTTCCGCATAGTGCCTTTCAACCTAGATGTATAACACTGAACCAGCATCTACAAACTCTCTGCTGCACAGATGGTTGTTTTATTACCGTATTGCCCCATAGTCTCCTGTTGACCTAGGATCTACACTTCCTTTTCATTCTGTTCTGCTGTAAGAACGCTGAGTAATTTTACTCAGACTATATCAGTGCTTTCCTCATCATAAATCGGCCTCACTCGGGTGTTACTTACCTTGAAAGGGCAGAATTTTGTGTCTCAAATCAACACGCTCTGATAAGCTGAGGAGCCTAATGTTCGCAGAGCCCATGAGTGCCGTACAACCATCTGTGTCTTGCTTCTTCTGTGTGACTCATTCAGAGAGCTAATGGTTTTCTAGGTTGATTTATTATTATGACTACTTTGAAATGAGAAACTTCATCATCACAGTTTCTACAGGAACTAGTGTAGGGGTATAATTTTTAAAAATATATAAAATGTGCTAATATGCTGTAGCCTATCACTGGATAAAGCAGCTGTGTATGTTGTGATGTCACTTATCCCCATTTACAGCAGCAGTTCATGTTCAACCTGTGCACCCCACATAGAGCTGACTACTGTCTTCTGATTTATTTCTTTTTGTGTGTGTGCCAAAAAAGTGCCAAGAAATTAAAACAGTAATATGGAGGATCAGTGAAGGATGCAACTTTGTGATAAAACCTATATGTATTGAGCTATTACTGTGATGATTTCACAGGAAAATGTAAGAAAGGTAGTTTTTTTTTCTTTTGCACTCTGCACTTACACCAAAGTTTAGAATTTCCAGATATGAACCATTTCTCATGTTTACATTCATTAAGAACAAATAGGATGGATAATAGGTTGTAATGCTGCAAGACTAGTCACCTAAGACAATACAGGTTAGACTGCTTAAGATTTTGGAAAATTGCATTATGTTGTCTCCTTTGCCTTTGGCCAAGTAGCTGAATCATATTTGCATAAACGTTTATCAAGTTGATGCATTATAGGTAGAAATTTTTCACAGTGCCTGTCTAAAGAGTGGAAGCACTGTTGAGTGTCAGAAGGAGCAGACCCTAAATAATTCATATGATGGCTGAAATCACCATAAAAAATATTAATATGTATATTTTACTGATAACTTTGTCCCCACAAACAAAAACATTAATAATCTCATCACAATCCAGTTCCATTGAAAGTCGGTCTACAGTAATATTTAGTTATGGTCCAGTTATGGCATTCATCTATCCTGATATGAATTGACATTTTAAACATTCCTCTCTTTCCTCCATTGTCTAGAGTAGTGTTTGAGCAGCTGAGCCTGTGAAGGGCCCGGAGGCGGCCATGTTGGATCTCTTCCTCAGAGTGCTGGTGTTGACTTGTCTTCACCCGTTTCTTCACAGCACCTCACTGCCAACCTAACTCCACTCTTCCTTTTCCCACATCTCTTTCTTCCACAGCCTGGCTGTTAGAAAGGTAAACAAGTTTTGCACGTTGCAGTTTTTGTTTAGCAGGTGTGCTTGGTTACTTCTGTCAGGTATTTCAGTAAACCTGTAGAATCATGTGGTTGACTGACAGTTGTTTTTTGGTGTGGGTGGAAGGCAGGACTTAAATAGTTGATGAAAGGGGCCTGACAAAAGACGTCATATTCAATGTAATTAAATAAAACCCTCAAAAGCACTAATTTTGTGCAGCTTAGTATGACACTGTAGTATTTTGTAGCTATGCTACTGTATAACGTGTTAATTAGTAAACATTGGACTTCCCAACATTGTTTGTTTTACACTTTGCAATGATAAGTTTATTTAGTTATGTTACTGGTATTATTGCTTTGATGGATGATTTATGTTTTTAATTAGTCTAATTTTCAAGTTGGAAAAATTCTTCTAATTCTATTTTATAGAGTTGCTTCAGAAACTTTGGGATATACACTAGAATTTTGTGTGTGTTTGAACAGTGACTGCAAAACATGAGTTTGTTGACTGATCTGCTGGTGAGATAATGTGCACTAGTGCAGTGGTCATGTTTCCTATTCTCAGGCCCTTGGTCTTTGTGGAAAATGTCCTATGCACACCACAAGCTGCTCACTTGGAGTTTACCTCACCTCCTCCTCCTACCGTTGACCTACCTCTGGGTCTTGGCTTCTCACACAGGTAAGATAAACCAATCAACAGCCTGAACTGAGCTGGCAAAAACCCTTTTGTTGACAGAGAATTGATAAGGAAGCTCTCGCTTGCCAAACCAAGCTCATCTGCACAGTAGGTTCACATGCCTTTGGTTACTCATGGTGGGTCTTCATCCTTCTCACAATCCTGTTATAACACTTAGATTATTTTGGGTTGTTAGTTGGTGTTTACTGTCCATCTGAGGCACATGGATTCAGAGGGAACTGCTGCTACCCCTACAGTGTGTGTGTGTGTGTGTGTGTGTGTGCTTTTCTATTACTTTAACAATGGGGACTGAAACCTGTTAACACTCACTTTGTGGGGCTGGTCCCCACGTTTGGGGTGTGTGTGTGCGCCCTTTCTCTGATGCCACTCAACTCAGCGGGTTGCTGTGAGACAGTACAATAAGCACTCTGTCAGTAGATGTATGAGTGTGTGTGTGTGCTGAGGAGTGGGGACAGGAAAAAAGAGGACAAAGGGTGGGACGACTAAACAGTCCAACAAGCCTTTTCTCAAACAGACTATTGTACTATAGTGATAAGACCTGGGTTTTTCCAGACTGGAGTTACACTGGCATCCCATAATGTCACACTTGACTTGAGTGTTGCCATGTTAGCATTATTTACCATTAGCAGTATATCTGAGATGATCTAATGAACTGCATGTTGGCTGTTTTGTTTACCAGTGAAGGTTTTTATTCCTTCTAACCCAGTTTTTGTTAATATTTTTATCTCCTTCACAAACACGATTGACAGGAAACAATGCATGCATGTAATCCATTTTATCTCACTGCAATCAACTGTACTCTTTAGCGTTCACTCCTACATTGTATCAGAGAAGCTAAATTAACTTATTGCTGATACAAGCCAAACCTTTGCTAGTGTTCACATTAGAAACATTCAACTTTGTGAACTGCAAGGTGGCATTTATTGTAAGCAGTGTATTTATCATTGAGGTTTGTGCTGACAGCAGTCATTCATCAAAAATGTGCCTACAGATCAAGACACGGGCGTTTTCAGCATTTTTGACAGTGAACCAGTATTAAATATTGCAGGGGATAATGGAACAAGGAAAACAGCCACAGTGAGCGGTTAGATGAAGAGTTGCAGGCTTCAGTTCCTTAGTTAGGTAACCAACTCCTTTTGGCTGTTTTCTGTTTGGAAAACTGTAAAGCTTATGCAGCATGAAATCAAATCATAGTTGTTCAGGGTGTGATGAAAAAGGCCAGTTATTGACATCTTTATTAGAGGAACACAAGGGGAAAAACCTTTTCTGAATTTTCTTGAAATACTGTACGATAAACAGTCCTTAAGCTGTCTTCAGTGAGGAGAGTACTGTTCAGTTGGGCTTTCTTTATTTACAGTGACTCGGCTGTACTCCTTAGTCTTGGACTAATCTTTAGAACTAGTTTGACATCTATTTAAGTACTAGTGAAAAATAACCTCCAGTTCTTCCTGTGTACTTTTACAGTTTGTGGTATTTTATGGTCTTGCTGTTTTGTTATATTTGGCTACATAATGAACTTCTCATCTCAAGCAGTAGATTAGAAGTTTTATCACCCTGAGTAATTCTCTTGAAGAGGAATCCACACACAGGGCAGCTGACTGTACCAGCTCAGAGATCTGTGCTTGGGGTTTTAATCAGTGTCTTGTTTTGTTAAGGAAAAGCCTCACTTCCCCTCTCTGCTGCTGGCTTGGCCGACTGCTCGAACTATGTCGGCTTTTCTGAGAAATGTTCAGTCAAACCCTAATCGGTGAAATATCTGTCTGCTTGGATCTGAATTTCACTCTGCCCCTCTGCCTGTGACACTGCTAAGAGCATCTCACAGTGCCCTGATTGAAACAGTTTAAATCTTTAAAAACCCAGTGGCAGATTCCTTTGGTCAAGCTACACACTAATGTAAACTCTGTCTAGAATTTCTCCCAGCTCATAAGCGTCAACTGTCATCCTTCCTTTCACTTCTATTTCATGACCAACTTCCCTTCTTTTAATACATTAATTATGTCATAATTTTCTCCGTCCTTCTGTCCCTGTTCAGGCGTGTCAGCAGATCTCTGCCGGGTGACCGGCGGGGTGCTGGGGATCCACTGGAGCAGTGTCATCAACCTAGGTTGGCACCCTCTGGCAGGCGGAAGAGGCGGGGCGACATGTTGGGAGTCCTGCTGCTTAAAGCCAGGCTGCAATGCTGTCTGGAGCCTTGGTGGGCGCTGTGTGCTTCTCAGCTGCTCCCGTAAGGCAGGCTGCCCCATCTCCTCCTTGCCCCAGCCCCACCAGGAGTCCCTGGGCCTCCTTCAGCTTCTCTCTAAGGTACAGTGAGGTGTAACAGAAATAGGTTTTTAGACAGGTTCAAAGATTCTTTTCAAAGATTTTTTTTTTTTTTGACATCTGAAATTTTATTTTAAGGATCCCATCATAGTAAGACGTAGAAAGGCTCGTCAGGTAGAGCACGCCGGAAGCTATGAACCACACACCAGCACGGTAACCTCATCACAGAATACTGGCTGATTTCAAATGAACCTGGAATTGTGTACAATATGGTGCCCTGAGTGTTTTCCAAATTCTGCTCCAAATGCTCCTTGCTCTTCTGAGTCTGCTCTTGGAAGTGTGGCTTTTATGGGTACTGTTTCTACAGGAAAGTCCTGAACTGGAAACGGCCTACCCAACACCAACGATCCCCAGCACCGTCACATTTCAGACAGCCCACAAGAACGTTAGCCAGCCAGTCAATGGGAGTTCATTCATCTCTCCTGCGCCATCACAGCAGAACTCAACGGTGGATGATACTGCTGCGTCTTCCAGTAGCGCTGCCGTCAGCTCAACCACAGCCTCTGCAATTGCCATAGTCACAACTCCAAGACAGGCCGGTAAGGAAGCAGCTGACTGCAGCAGTTAGTGCCAAATGCCTTGACATGGGTCACCTGTTTCCTGCTTGTTCAGCAATAATGTAGCAGCACTGTGGCTGTGCAGCCTCGGAGGAAGATTTCACATGACTGTCAGACTCTTTCTCTACTAGAGTTGGTTGTTTTTTGAGCTTGTATTTTTCTATCACACATGCTCAATGTTTGCACTGTTCGTTTTTTGTTTGTGCTTCGGCTGATGTTTGACAAAGATGTACTTTGTCCACCGACTTTATGGCAGTCTGCTCAGATGTTATTTTTTCCCAAATGAAAGCAACATGTCCTGTGGGTGAGAAGCCAGATGGGTGTAAGCAATAGAACTGTACTGACAGATGCCGGGCTACTGCAAACAGGAATAACTTGACTGATCAGTGTCTCCTCCCTGAAAAACAGAACTGCCATTCATTTAGTATTAACACCCAGCACATCGCTCTTCAGACAACCCAAAAGAGCACAAACTTATTCATTTATTTCAGTGTGTGTAACTATACAAACATGTCATAAGACATCATAATAAAATAAAATGAAAATATAGTTATGCCTTATGACAGACCGAAAGCACATAGGCTGAAGCTACCGCTTATTAATGCCTACCCCCATTCAGAACATGTTTATTCATTATTTGTTTTGATGTAATTTGTGTTTTTTTTTTCTTTTCATCTTAATTTGTTTATTTCCACTCCCACAATTTTTATTTCAGACACTTATCGATTTCATCATCATTTATACTAAATTTGCTGTAGGAGTTTGATGCGCAGTTTACAAATATAATGAATTTAGTTTTACTAGTGTTCAGTGATAAAATAAATATAATATAAAAACCATTTATTTATAAATTTTAATTCTTTCACAACTGATCCCAATCTTGTGGTTCCCATTCTGTCACTTTGGCTTAATCTCTGATCATATGTCACCTTTCTCTGCAGTGAGAGAGCTGGTGGTGTCTGCAGGGGAGAGTGTGGAGGTCACACTGCCACGCAACGAGGTCGAACTCAATGCCTATGTGGTGCCCACACCTCCGCCAGGTAAAACCATGGAATTACAAAATCAACTACTGTAGTTTGTTGTTGGGTTTTTTCTGGGAAAAAAAAGATTATACAGTGATGAAGGAATGCATGTCATAATTTTTCTCTTTGACCTGCACCTGCTATACTAAAACCATTTGTTCACAAATGATCTGACTTTAATTAAATGCATGAGCAGTTTTGTTAAATGTGATTATTTATGGAATGTTTCTTCCTTCTATACAGGGACAAACTATGCATTTGACTGGCGTCTGATAACTCATCCCAAAGATTACAGCGGGGAGATGGAAGGAAAGCACAGCAAGACACTTAAACTAAGCAAGGTGCAGATCACACCACTCATCTTCATGCTCTGCTAAAAATAAAATATGCAGCTGGCGCTCTATTGAATGTGTAAAAGGGAAGACTTCAGTAGTGGGTGAAGGACACAGATTGCCTCAAAAAGATAATTTCCTCTTTGTGCTTGCTCGATTTGCTCAGCTTCTCCTCTCTCCCTCTCTCAGCTGACTGTGGGCCTGTATGAGTTTGAAGTGACAGTGGACGGAGAGGGGGCTCATGGAGAAGGTTACGTCAATGTCACAGTAAAACCCGGTGAGGTCGAACATTCAGTACAATGTAAAATCTCATCCATGTTTAATGGTCCCACAAGCTGTTTGCAGGGGTGTGTTTGTGTGTGTGCGCGTGCTCTTGTTCAAAACAAACCAAGGTTACTGCTGATGCAAAATAACCTCAGCTTGCTACCACATACAGTATGTGCCCTGAAGTAAATCTCAATTTTATAAAGCTCACAGTGTTTGTTTTGTGGTTTCTGAGCTCTTGATTCAACTCAACAGATATATAAATGTTTAGTGTTAGTCGGTCTTATCGAGAACACGTCTTCCTCTTTGCTCATGTAGTTTTCCTGTGATACAGCTCCTACTACATTACATAACTTTGTACTGTTTTGTTTTTGACTGTGGCAAAAGCTATTGAGGCGATACTGCTGAAACTCAGTAATAAAGGAAGTCAGTGACTTTTCATTAAATTAATTACACAGTTGAGTCATAAAATTGAATCGTTTTCAAGGCTGGTTGCAGTTAATCTCTCACAAACACTGACGGTTGTACATCAAGGCAGACACCTGTGTGGTTTAAGATCTCACTATGACAAACTCCAAACATCAGAAAATATTTGAAACGAGACACTAAAACAACTGTCATGCTAACTGAAAGACAATTATTTGGATATTTGTACAACAGCATTACAAGCGACTGATTCAAAAATTCTAGGTTAACTGAATCAGCACCTTGTTGAGTGAGTTGAACTAATCATTTAAATAATTTCTTTAATTGTTTTATTTAGGTTTATTTACAGTGTTTTAATTAGCAGGATCTTTACTTTTGCATCACAGGATGTCTCACGCTTGCCTGACTGTGCACAGTGAAATGATCTATAGGCTTTTATGTTCCCTCAGAATACAAAATGCCTCAGACGTGCCGCAAACCTGTTTCTTTCTGATCCTGTCACTTAACTTACTTCTGTAACTCACTGTATGACCACAGAGTCTGCTCCTCTAAGTTACCATACAAATTTAGATTTAACATACAGTGTGGGAGACAGAGCAAATGTAAAGGATATGTCAGAGGCTTCTTTTCAGACGTACCTGCGAATCGTAGTTTCTTTGTGAGAGAAAGTACATTTGATTTTGATCTGTCTATGTGGATGTTGACCTCACTCGATCTCAATTAAGTAAACTGTGTGAAATGGGAGCTGTGGAGTCCTGGTCCTTCTTTCACTTAGAATGAGACAGAGACATCCTTTCACACCATAAATGCTAACCATAAAAACTAACCATGTCTCACAGAGTTACTTTTTGGTGCAGGACTTTTGTACTCTGATATGTTGCTATTATTTTGTCCACCCACTATAACATAGGCTTTGACTAATATTTGATGCTGTTGTCTTTTCTGTCAGTGTAAAGGATGTGGAATCAGTCTCATGTTGACTAAATAAACTCGGATCTTATTTCTGGAAGATGAGCTGGCTGTCCTCCCACACAGTAATTGTGACTTTTGCAAAGGCAGCCGCCAACTTGTTCATGCTGCACTCGCAGACAGCTGATGTACATCTCACTAAGCGAGCTCACTTCTTGTTTTCCACCTGACAGAGCCACGGGTAAACAAGCCCCCCGTTGCTGTAGTTTCCCCAAAGTTCCAGGAGATTTCCTTGCCAACCAGCTCTACGGTGATCGACGGCAGCCGTGAGTCTCCCACGTGGCACATAACAGCTAAAGACTGAGGGACTGAACCTAAAATATATTATTTCCTCCCCTGCTGTATTTAAGTCCTCTTTGTTCCTCCACCTCTATGTCCCCCTCCTCAGAGAGCACTGATGACGACAAGGTGGTGGCGTGGCACTGGGAGGAAGTTAAAGGTCCACTGAGGGAGGAGAAGGTCTCTGCTAACACCCCCGTCCTCACCCTCAGTGGCCTGGTGCCTGGGAACTACACGTTCAGGTACAGGTGGACCTCACTTACATCATGCTATTTTAGCTTAGGTCCCAGTGTTTCATATTTATCTTTACGTAGACAAGTTAAATTTGGCCACAGATATTTTACAGATATTCCCCTCTAAAATACTTGTATACTGGCTTCACTCTGTGACCCTCAGAAGTGTGAGATTAAGAGCAGAGACTGTGGCTTAAAGGTATTCATTTCTTAAAACAAGCAAATCAAGCTTTTATAGACAGAGGTGAAATTATTTAGATTTTTGTTTGCCATAAAGTTTTTGTATTTATCCTATCACATGTTCTTTCTCAGTTTGACCGTAACAGACTCGGATGGAGCCACAAGCTCAACACAGGCCACCCTCTCCGTCAACAAAGCCACGGACTACCGGCCTGTGGCTAATGCCGGCCCTAACCAGGTCTGGCAAGTGTTTTCCTTTGTCATGATTCAGTTCTTCATTGCATGTTATTAAACCATATGAAAGTACAGTAGGTTACTTAAACTTGAAAAAAATGTTAAAATCCAGTTTTATTTACCAAACCAGTACACACAGTGACCAACACCTGCTGTTTACTGCTACTTCATCCAGGTCATCCAGTTGCCACGGAACGCCATCACTCTCTATGGCAACCAAAGCACAGACGACCATGATTCCCTGTCCTACGAGTGGTCCCTCAGTCCCGAGAGCAAAGACAAGGTGGTGGACATGCAGGTGAGATACGTGAGGAATATCACATACATAATTATGTTCCAGCTTATTTTTCCCTTGATACTGGTTAACAGTGGTAGCTCATCTTTTTGTGCTGTTCAGGGTGTACGGACACCCTTCCTGCAGCTGTCAGCCATGCAGGAGGGGGATTACACCTTCCAGCTGACTGTGACAGACTCAGCTGGACAGCAGGACACCGCCCAGGTCACTGTCATTGTTCAGCCAGGTAAACAACTGGACAAAAGAACAGCAGCTTCTGTTGCAGACTTTTTAATCTTTCACTCATAAGTCAGGTTTTGAAGTGTTTATTCAGCTATGTGCACAGCTCAAAAAGACTTGAATTAAATGCCTCATCTTGATATTTCAGATTCACCTCCTCTGTACTCAGTATTCCCTCTATTATTTCTTGTTAGCTCTTTATCTTTCCCACATGCTTTCTATAAACATGCACAATAAGTGTGAAGAACATACTAACACCAGTGTTGAATGCCGCTACATTTATATAAATCTTGAAGTCTTGATTTGTACACTGTGTTAGACTGATTCTTAAACTGCTGATAGGGATTTCTGTTTGTCAAGTCTTTGTAAGATATAGTGTTTCCTCTCAGTGAGTGGGAGGTTTACATTTACACTCACCCGTTAAGCACTTACTGACAATATGTTCTGTTAGTGTTTGTACGGGATCTGTGATGTTAACACGCATCCACCTGCAAGGTCACACTGTTTTATCCATGTGAGTGGTACGATTTGAAAGAAATGCCAGAGTGTTCTTAGTCAGAGGCTGTTGTTCCAGGTATTTCAGATCAGGACAGCCCTTCTTTGATGTCACACTTTGACCTTTATAGACTGTATCAGGTATTATACAGTCAAAATGATCATAGAAGTGCTGATCTGAAGGCAGTTGTGGAGGCTTTATTCTGTGTGTTGCTTGATAGACCTTTATTGCTGTCCTGCTGCTTTATTTTGATGATGGTTGCAGGATGATGTGCTGTGTTGGTTTGCATCAACTGCAGAAGAAATGCTTCATGTCATTTTTCTTTAAAAGTTAGAGAATGATCAGCCACTATTGGCAGCCTTCTTATTAGCACCGCGTCTTTCATGTGAGCTGTAAAATGGAAGGGTTGCATCATTCTTGTCTTTCTGTTCACACACACACACACACACACACACATATATTCCAGAAAACAATAAAGCACCAATAGCACATGCAGGACCAGAGAAAGAGCTGACGCTGCCAGTCGACCGAACCACGCTGGATGGCAGTAAGAGCAGCGATGACCAGAAGATCATCGCCTACCACTGGGAACAAATAAGGTCAGTTACACACCTCTGTTCCCACAAATGTCCCATGTTGTAGCTATTTTTGTGTTTTTATGATGGTTTGATCTTGACAAAAGCAGCTAGGTGTAGACAAACTGGGACAGTAACAGCCTGCTCACTCCTGTGGACCATAATCTGTTTCTGGCGAAGGATCGCTTTTCGTACAATACCATAAATGCAGTGATTAGAACACATTTTTAATCCATTATTTTAAAATCAAATATTGATAAAGATATATCCAAAAAATGTCATTGTGTAGATAAACAGAAAATAACTAGGCACATTTCTGAGACCCCCGTGAAATTTCATTTTGAGATTTTCACAGGGTTCGAGCTGTCAGAGCACTTGAGACCCCCTAAAACTGCCTGTAAAGTTAAAGAACCTGCAAGAAACAGATTGAACAAGGAATATTCAAATGCTCAAAGCAGCAGAGGCCATGATGTCCTGTGTTTTACTTCCTAATATAAAACTGCAAAAATGCTGGATCTGCAATGCAAATAACAGCTTCACTTCCTCAGACCCTCTTTATCCAGTACAGTAAATGCCCATGTCTCTCAAAATCCAAGTTTGTAAATCAGACTTGACATTAAATGTTTGTTGTTTCTAAGCCTACGTTAAGATGAGCCTTATTCTTACAGACATTAGAAAGCTCACTCCAATGCCACAATAGACATCCTAGGCAGATTTTTAGAAACATTCTGCGTTGTATTGTTCAGTGTCATTAAGGTTTTTACTTCCTTCTACAGTGAATTGTCTTTTTGACATTCTCTGACTCTGTCTCTGTCCATCTGTTCCTCCACCAGTGGTCCTGATGGTGTGAAGATCGAGAACGCAGACAGTGCTGTTGCCACGGTGACAGGCCTCAAGGTCGGCAGGTATGAGTTCACCCTGACAGTAACTGATGAGAGGAAACTGCATGGTATCGACACTGTCACGGTCATCGTCAGAGAAGGTTAGGAGCTGCGTGTGTCCCTGTGTGCATGCGAACTAATTCTTTTGCAAAATATCTGCCTGAGGTTTGAGTCAGACAGGTGAGGATTATAGATGTAGTTGTGAAATATGGGTTGGAATGGAGGAAGCATTATAACCACACATTTGAAGTGTTTTATAGGTGTGTTTTAAAGGAAATGTTTTTATATCAGATATAAAAACAAACTTACAGTGCAAGTAAAATCCCAGTGGAAGTGTTTGTTTTTTGGAACTCTTTAAGCTCAAGTGCAAAATAAAATCACAGTAAAAACAGGTTCAGATGTACTGTAAACACATTGAAATCTCCTGCTTCTCCAGTCAATCTCCTGTGAGTCAGTCCTTCAGCAACACGAACAAAACGTACTGTATATTAACCCAAAGACAACAAGTGCATGCTCCACAGAGAGAAACTGAGTGTTCAACCTAAAAAATATAAATAAGTCATCAGAGTATAAAAGAGGAAGCTGCACAGACAGCAGCTCCTTTTCCTACTTTGATGACTAAAACTTAAAATATTTGTGGTGCCAGTGACATTAAAGCAAAAAAAAATACCCTACACAGAATAAAATGTGGAACCCAATCAACAATGCACAGTCTCGGCAATTTGTAGTGACAAAAGCTGTGGAGGGGAGTAAAGCTATCATAACCACGTAGAAAATGTTAGAAACGTCTTCTGATTTTGTTTAATTCATAGCACAGTTCTTCTCTAACGCATGCTTTCTTTATGGTTCCTTTTGTTACTGTTTATTAAGAGCAACCTACAAGAGAAAATGGCTGCCCATGTGCCTTGTGTCCACTCTGCAGTGAATCAACATGTTTCACAATGAGTGTTGTTGTAATAGTGGTCTTTGTACTGAATGTCATGTTTTTTTATGCTTTCATCCAGAACTGGACCAGCCGCCAGTGGCTCATGTTGTGTCGAGTCCACCCATCACACTTCCTGTCAGGACTGCCACTCTGGATGGATCTCGCTCAACTGATGACAAAGGTGGAATCAGCTACCTGTGGACTAGGGACGACAGCAGCCCCGCCGCTGGGGTAAGCCTCACTTTCTTACCTGCTGTGATGAGGCCCACGATTGAGTCAAAGGGTGTACTCACACTAGGTGAATCGGTACTGTGCCCGCTTATCTGTATTTGTATCAGTATCTGACCACTTAGTGCTCTGTGAGAGCGCTTCTCTTCAGTTGCATTGCTGTGACGTAAGCGTGCTCCAGCCCAGAGCATTTTGAATGCAGACCAGCAGGGGAGTGGGGAGGGGAGACAGTCGTGCTCAGGCAGGGTACAAGGCAACCACGCCTAGTGTGAGTGTGCCCTAGCATTAAAGACAAAATCCATCCAAAGACTGTAAAACCATTCACACTATAACAAACAACAGCAGCTTGTCGAGCAAATTTGAACATTCAGTGTTAGAAAATACAAATTTTATGTTTTGGTTCCAACAGGACGTCCTGAACAATTCTGACCACCAGGCAGTGCTGATTTTGGGAAACCTGGTGGAGGGCAAGTACAGCTTCACCCTGACTGTAACTGACAGTAAAGGACAGAGTGACTTGGGCAGCGGCACAGTGGAGGTCAAGCCAGGTAAAGTGAACAGATGTGCACAAACCTAGAGTATATGGACACTGAAGACATCCACTTTATTGTAAACTGTAGCTGGTGCACCTTTCCATGTAGTTTCTGTGTAGTTGTTTGGTGGTGCATTTGTTCTTTTCATCCCTTCTTAATCAAAGAGCTGTGGCTTCTGTTCAGACTTTTATTTTGTAGCAGTGTTAATGGGGAGAAATGCAGAAAAACATGAAACCGCTTGTTCTGTGATTTTCATGATGAAAAAGGGGTGCAACTAGTTGCTCCATGCTTGTCACTTTATTTCAGGTTACAGCAAATCATTTGAAAGACTTTCTGTAAAATGAAGGAGATGGAGACAGTCTGAGTGAAGTGTGTATACCAAAAGTTAAACGGCAGCGTTTTATCACAGAATGCCTCCCAGCTTGATGACTAGTACAGAGCAGAATATATTTCCCCTTTAAACAGGGCTGTATATACAAATGGTTTCCACACAGCGAGAGACTTAACAAGCAACAGCAGAAGGTTGAACAGGTCAGTTTGCAACATACGGTGCACAGACACACACTCAGCCAGAAATTAATCCATCACTTGGTGCTCTGGCCTCTCTCCCAGATTTCAGTGTCGGATCCCTGCAGTCTGTTTGTGTTTCACCATGTCAATTTCTCCTTTTCCTTGTTTTTTTTTTCCCCCACTGTTGTCGCCACGTCTGTATTGTGTTTTAATCTCTTTCTTTCTCTCTGTTTCCCTCTCTTGTCAGACATATGGGAGCGTGACCTGGTGGAGCTGGTGTTGGAGGTCTCTGTATCCCAGGTCACCCACCGTCAGCGTGACATGCTGCTGCGCCAGGTTGGAGTCTTACTGGGCGTGCTCGACAGTGACATCATTGTGCGTGACATCAGTGCATTTAATGAGCACAGGTGATTTGTCCTGCACCTTTTTTGATTTATTGATGTTATCATCTTTTATTAAAACCCCAAGTGTAGACCTGATAATGAAACAAATAACCATGAAAAAGTCTAGAATGAGATTTTCTTGACTTGGCTTCATTGGTGAACATTATTGTATAGTGTAAATAAGCACTTTCACGCCTTCCTTCCTCCTCAGTACTCGCTTGGTCTTCCTGGTGTCAGGCGGTCCAGGGCGCCCTCCTCTGTCTGGCCACAGTGTTGCACTTAGTCTACGAAACAAACTGCACAAACAGAAGAATGACTTTCTCATCTACAAGGCCCAACGAGTGGATACAGTCAGTGAGTACCTGAAAATATACACTACCAGTCAGACGCTTGGACATGCTTTCCCACTGAACTGAATGAGAAATTGCGTCCCGACTTAGAGATTAAATGTCCTGTATTAGATTATATGTAAAGTAATATGTCTTACAGTCAAGAGCACAACACTGAAAATTATTCTTAAATTTTGGTTGTCATTTATTGATATCATGATAGAATACAGTATCATAGTTTTAATATGTTGTTGCTCCTGAGTTCTCTCAGTCTGCTTTCTACAGGGTAATTTGCCACTCTGGGACATTAGAGCTCTAGTTTCATCATACTCTGTCGCTCTCGCTCCTCCCTCAGTCTGCCAGCTGAACTGCTCCAGTCACGGGGAGTGTGACTCATTCACACGACGATGTGTCTGTCACCCCTTCTGGATGGAGAACTTCATCAGAGCTCAGCTTGGAGATGCAGAGAGCAACTGTGGTGAGATGAGAAGGCTTAATAAATTAGTTTAGTCAGCTTATGAACCAAAATACAGTGTTGTGCAAGGCTGGGCTTTTTTTCTGCACACAGCTGTCGTCCTAGCCTCTAGAGACAGCTCATATGGTTGCCATTCTCTACACCGTCAGGCCTGATATAAAGTATTCTTTAATATGTTACTCTTTTTCCACTACGTAGTAATAACATACTTTGTTTCTGTGTCCAACTAATATTTTTGTTTTCAGAGTGGAGTGTACTCTATGTGACTATAGCATCCTTTATGATTGTGGTTGCAATAGCAACTGCTGTCTGGGGGATTGTGTGTTGTTGCAAGAGGTGAGTTGAACATATAATTATTACAAAAAAAAAAAAAAAAAGCTTTTGATTTAATTATTTTGAATCTTGGGATTGAGTTCTACCAGCTTCCTAAACTACCCACTGATAATATTTGCATATTTTTTGTGAAAGGAGAAAGAACAAAGTGCGCAGAAGCAAAAGCCGATATAAAATAATAGAAGCTGATGAGCAAGACAGTCTGGAGTTACAACCACCTAGAGCTGGTAAGATGCATACATTCATTGTCAGGTCTCGTTCACTGTGAAAAGCAGCTTTCTCTGTCCCAGCTTTTTGAAATCCATGGCTGCTATGTGTAACCACTGTTATTTAAAAGTGTACGTTTTGTGAATTTCTGTGTTTTGTCCTTGCTCACATTGTATATGTTTTTTGTCAACAAGTAATTAGAGAATGAATGTTAGTCCTGTTTTAATGCAGTTTCATTTTGACATCATACTGGTTCTTTCTCTTCTCCTTTCTGTCCTTCCTTTTCACCACCTGTCTATCAGCCCGCATGAAGCCAGTTCCCGCTCCCACCTCCTCCGCTCTCATGCGCTCGGACTCTGACCTGGACAGCGACGACGGGCAGGGTGGGGTCCCGTGGACAGAGCAGGAGTGTGGGCATCTCCTGCGTCCCCAGAACGGCTCCCTGAGGAATGGCCAGGTGCCAGTGAGGAGCATGAAGCAAAGAGAGGAGCTGCTATAGCGAGAGAGGAGGAGGGAGCTCGCTGCTGCCCTCGCACACACCTCCTCCAGCCGTCACCCCCCCACCCCCTGTTCCTCATGCTTCCTCTTACTGTTTTGCTTCTTTAACACAGAAACCTCACACCTCTCAGAGAGACTGCGATATCTGATTTTACGAAGCGGGGGAGAGGAAGAATAGGCTGGAAACATGTTATCTCGCTGTCTCAGAAAAAAAAAATCACCACTCTACTGAAATTTCCCTGCTCCCACACTGAGCCAAAACATTTTGCTGAGAGCTAGGGGTTACGGGGGTTAGCACTGTGTTTTGAATGGTATAAAAATGTAATGTAGACCCATATTATTCTGACACGGAGACATGAAGAATGTACTGTTACCCCTCTGACACTGGCACACTTTGGTAAGAGTCTGTTGGAGAGAAAACTGGAGAAAACATCTCAATGACACAAAAACCAGCCACCTGACATGCTCACTCCTTTCTTCTTCTAGACAAGCATGCACCATCACAAACGCGTCGTAGTCACTGTTCCAGGTTAGCCTGATGCTACCAAACACTGCCATGTTAAAACCAATGGTTAACTCTGCTCTGATGATTTTGTTAGTGACTCTTCTGAAGGAAGAACAACCAAAACAGAGCTCCTTCCACCAAAACAAAAAAATATATACATGTGCATGAGGAGTGACTGCAGTCAACTGATCTGCTGTACTTGATACTGGGATGATTGCCTTCATGTTTGTATGTGTGGATTTTTCTGGATGCTGTGCCAAACGTTGTTTGTTCAGAGCAGTTTTTATGCCTGTTATTAACCCATGGAAGAATCACTGTGTTGTCAGCTATGGAGGTCAGAGGCAGAAGATTGTTTTCAGACAACACACTTTTATTCTGAAGGGTTCTCTGTGAATTAAATCACTGGAACACACAAAAAAAAACAGGAAAGATGATGAGGACAAATATGAAGTTCCCTACAAATGGGAAGAGGCGAACGCTGCTTCCTTGCTTACCACTGTACTTGTGGTTTATTTTTCTTTTTTACAAGCTTCAGGCTGTGATTAGATGTCAATGCACTTTGATTTAATGTCTGTCAGCATCATGTTGTCTTTTGATTGAAAAGGGAGGAATTAATGTGGCGGTTAAAGTTTGATAACTTTATCCTTGAATGAATTGGTTGGCCTAAGCTTAATGTGTGACCTCTGTACTTACGGTTTTAGTAACCAGTCTCAATATTTTGGGGTACAAATAGGATGAACACATTTATCTTTAGTCTCCTATTGAAAATGTTCAGTTAGTTTCAAAATCACACAAAAAACTGACATGATTTAGATGAAAATTAGACATTAAAACAGACATCTCTAAACTTTCATGTCGATAAAAGTGATTTCCCACATACGGGGTTAGCCTTCTGAGAGGACATTCAGATAGATACTCACCATGAAGGCTGGAGGATCACAGAAGAGAAAGCAAAACAAGGTTTTTTGTTTTTTGTTTTTTTTGCATCACTAGTAAATAGACATGTTTTTGGATTACACCAGACTAAGGGAAAACTTGAACCGAATGATTTGTCCCTCTCAGTGTGTGTGATCGCTCTGCATGCAGAATGTGAAACTGACCTGAAAGTCCACATTTTGAGTCACTTTTTCTGTTGTTGCCTGTGTTAATTCAGTAAGAAATCATTTAAACATATTGGGTATTTTTTGCTGTTGGTCATCTCATGCTGATGTTTGTTCTGCTGCACTAGTCTTACAGCACCAGTGCACATCAGACCAGGGTGATTTTTTTGTTTGTTTGTTTGTTTTCCCCCCATTTCATTTGGCCAACTTCTGTTAGACATATTAAAATCAAGTGCACCCAAGTGCCAGCTCTGTAAAAAGTCATCTCCTTCCCAAGTTTTTTTTGTACATCATGGAGAATAGCTTTTGGAGTAATTGCCAAGATTTGATGTTGACTCACCAATTTCCTGTTTATCAGTATACTCTTTTTCCAAAGCTTGCAGTAAAAAAAAAATCCTTCTGTTACATTTACAATATTTGTAGGAACATTTAGGGATTTAAGTAAGAGAACTGACCTTGACTCTGTTGGAGTCCACTGTGAAGGCAGACAGAGAAAGTAGGGAGCAACTGTTATATGAAGGGAGTTTGATTTAAAATGTTTAAACCAGACTTGATGCAACTGGGTAGTCTGTAAAATAAAATGTTTAAGTTTGTTCTTGAATTTTTTGAGAAGTGTGTGCTTCTTACTATTTTCTGAGCAAAGATTCCAGCAGACACTGGTTTAAACAAAAGCATCAGAGATGTTTAAAATGACTCTGTGGGTGAACTGCTGACAAATCATAATCTCACAAAGGACCCTAACTAGCCTCTATGTTTACAAGGAAACACAACTCAAAAGGGTTTTGTTGTTAATCATGCAGTATATTTTATATTTATATGTTTTTAAAGTAAAATCTTAATTTGGGTACCTATAGTATAGTACAGCAACTTAAGCTGTCAGATAAATGTAGTGGAGTTATAAGTACATAGAAGCATAAAATGGAAATATTCGATTATCTCCAGTGCATCTAAACTGTACCTAAGGACAGCACATGAGTAAATGTACTTAGTTACTCTCAATCACTGCATGATGCACTGTTTGTTATTGCACCTTATGTATTAGTTTGCCGGTATAGTATGTGATGCTAAATACAGTAAAGGTGTAACTATATTTTTCCACCTCTGTTATCTTCTGTTTGGAAACAAGTGTGCTGTAAAATTAAATGCCCTCTCAAACTTCTCAGACACATTATATACTCACTAACTCTAGTGTTGCTGCACAGACCCAGATAACGAGCTCTCAAATAGTTTATTCTCTCACTGACATTTATAAGCCCATAATCCTCAATGGTTTTCCTCTGCTGTATTATTAACACAAGTAGTGAGACAATGGAGTCGGTAACAACTGGTGATAAAAACCTGCCTCCTCACTTATGTAATTTCATTTCATGTTAACATCAGATAAATGCAGAGGTCAGCAAACATTTTAGTGCATAATCAATAGTTAATGGAATGAATTTCTGATTGGTTGCATTTAATCAAATGATAAACAGCCATGTATATGTAGTAAACCTGGGGTTTGGGGGATCTTTCTGCATGTGTACCTGGTGTTGAACAGTCTGCAGAAGGAAAAAATGCAGCGACACATTTTGTAGGTTTATGATATGAACTAAAATAAATAAAAATGGGCCTTTCTGCAAATTGTAATGCACTGTTACATTTTATTTCATGAGCTTACAGATTGAAAACATTTGCAGTAACTGTGGCATGTGCAAAGTTTTAGTAACCCTGCAAAACCCACTGTTACCAGCTGTTAAGCATGAGGGGTGGAAATATTCTGCTTTGGGGTTGTGATGGCCAGTAGTACAGGAAACAGTACAAAGACAGTGGGTGTTATACAGTGAGTCAAGTGAAACTCTAAAAGAGGCTGACAATGATTCAAAGCTGACTACAAAACCCACCATGAACTACTTCAAGAAACACAAGCTGGAGCTTTTGGAATGACCCTCACAGCCCTCAAAATGAAGATCACTGAAATTATGTGGGTAAATGTTTAAAATGTGTGCAAGATCTGAAGGAATTGTGAGTGAAAATTCTTAATTCAAGTGTATACAGGCTGGTAGTTGGTTGTAAAATAAGAAAACGTTTCCAAGCTGCGGTATCAGCCGAAGGGGAGCTTATGAGTACAAACTTGTGTCCACACTATTGCATACAAGTGTAGCTCTAGAGGAAGGAAATCAGTTGTTTCATCTTATTTTGCTGCCCTGTGCCTCTCGCGCGCCTTATATGGAAAAGGAATTAGTTGCGCGAACATGGGCGGAAGCGCGGCGCGGTGACAGCTGGGTAAATTCACCGACATCCAGGAAGAAAAAGACGAATCCCAGTCTGGTCGTTGCACACTCCTACGGCAAAATTGACAGGAGTATAAAGGACCAAATCACTGCTTGACTAGTTTGGCAGGTAGGTTAAGCGACATGCGGTTGTTGTCTTATGCAGTTAGTGTTTTATTTAGCGGGTTTTCTGAAGCATTAAAATGAAGCGAAACGCTCAGCAGCGCTTCTTCCTCAACGCGGCACCGAATCATTCCGAAATTATTTTTTTGAAATCGGTGTGATGCTAACACCCGGTTAGCCTGGGTTGCTACCCTGTTAGCCACAAAGTCCAAGCTCGTTCGCTTACTAAAGTAGACCTCGACTTATGTTTAACCTTTAAGTAATTCCTGAATGTATTCTTTCAGTGAGCAGAGGCACCGGTTTGCTGAAATGTGGAAACTTCTTTTTTTCTTCTTCAGCAGACTAGTGCAGACACGGGGAGGGTGTGAGAGGAAAAAAAATCCAGGAAATGCCGAAACAGACAGCAGACACTCCACAACAGCAAAATAACATGTACAGCGCTAACATAGCATAATATGTTTGTAGTTTTGTCAAACGGACCCGGTTTGTCAGGATTTGCATGAACTAGCTTTGTTTTTGTCGATAATGGCGTTATGACACAATTTGTATACTCGTCCATGAAACGGCTTTCTAGCAAATGCTAACGTTATTTATAAAACACATTTGACTGTGAGAAAGCTCAAACTGTCAAAAAGGCCTCATATTTAATTGGGGCTGTACTAGTTAGTAAAGGTTTGTGGTCTAGGGCAGACCAAACTTGTTACAGACACAGAGTTCCCCACTACACCCACTTTGCTAGCTAGCTTTAGACTCGCTAGCCGGCTGAGTGAAACCCCAGTGATCGCGTTAACAGCAGCGGCTTGAGCTTGATTTGTTGGAGCCTTGAGCCCACCGAAGTAGGACTGCGACGAAGGTTCTAGCTCAGTCTGGTTTAGCCCACGTCTGCCACAAAGTGATGTTTGTTTTGGCCAGTGAAAATGATACTCATGCAGAGTTGGACGCTCCTTCCTTATCTGAACTTTGGCCCCCAAGCAGAGACATGGGCCTAACCCGCTTCACTGCCCCTGCATGCTTGTGCTGCTTTATGCAGAACATTTCTGGCCTATGTCCAAAAAGTATGCATCTGATTACACTTGGCCAGACTTTTTATGTTTTGGAAAGAGCTAAAATGTATGAACAGTAAATGTATTAAACTATATTCATGCTTGCATAATTTGTTTAAATGCAAATTTGTTAGACATTTGCACAACTGAAGTAGAATGTCACCCTTAGGAGATATTAACTGGTGCCCTACCCTGTCTGTGGTAATAAAAATAAATCCAATTTACAAATATGTAGGTTAAGTTTTAAAAGTAATTTCTAAAAAAAGAGCTGTGTGCTATATTGTTTTGTAAATGTTACTCAAGCAGGAGGTAAAAGTGCATGTATTTGGAGCTGTTTTCAGCTGTGCTGGTTCTCAGGTGAGTTTTTCATAAAACAGCTGGTGGGCAAGACTCAGGTTTGTTCTCACCAGGAGAGTGAGGAAGAGTTGATGTCAAATATAGAAATATTAGTATGTATGTGGGACTTGATTCAAAACTAAATGGAGGAGCATGTCACCTGGGGCAGCAGTGCCTTACTGATCTGTTTTTAATACGGAGATCAGACTGTGGATACACAAACCTTTCAATGAGATCAGTTCATTGGTAGTTTGGGTCTTTTCATGGAATTTGACCATAAGGATCGAAGCTTATGCACATGTAGGCCAGTTCCCTAAATCCTAGTCACTGACCCTAGCTCCTCCACCTTTAATGTTGTGATGAAGCCCAACTTTTAGCTGTCTTGCCTTTTATAGTGCTCAAATCTAAGGAAAATGTTATGACAACCATTATTTCCTGGCTTGAGTTATTGCTGTATCTGCCCTAAATTCTCTGGAAAGCTGGTTCTTCTCCCTTGACGGCGGAGTTTCCTTGGTGGTCAGCACTTGGCTTGAGCATGTGTGTTCACTTTAGTGCACTGGAGGAAATGTTCTTCGGTGTATGAGCTGTTGTACACTCAAATGTGCTCACTTAGTGACTTGAAAATTAACTTTAAATGGGTCATTGGCAGTATAGTTAACCAACTGCAGTGACTTATCTACGCACCTCTTACAGTGGGATGCTCAAGATGCAGGCGGCTCTGGCTCAGGGGGTAGAGCAGGTCGTCTCCCAACTGGAAGGTTGGTAGTTCCAGTCCACATGTCAGTGTCCTTGAAGAAGACACTGAACCCCAAGTTGTCCTGGTGTTATCACCAGTATGTGTGCAAATAGTGTGAAAGCACTTTGAATGTGCTGCAATCAATAGAAAAGTGCTATACAAGTATAAGACTATTTGTTTTTTGGTGTACATGACTCCACGTACACCTTTAGGGGCCACTCCCTTTCTGTATTTCTGGCGAGTCATCTCAGCTGAGACCAGGAAATGAGAGAGTTGCACTCTGGAGTCTGCAGGTTTACCTTAAATGCAGCTGTGGCCCTGAACATTCAGGCATGTAGGTCAAGGGTAAAGAGGCTGTGTGTCCTGCTGTGATCTAATTTAGATTTAAGCCTTGTGGAGAAATTAGTTTGCAGCTCTGTCTGAATGAGTGGTACAGATAAAGGGGAAGTTGAGGCACTTTAAAATGAAGCTGCCAAATGTGCTGTAACATGAGTCAAAATTTTTCTTTTGTCGTCAAAGCCATCACCCCTCCTGCATTGGTTTCAGTAAACACTTTAGTGCAGTAATATGATGCTGCTGATAATCTGGCCTATTGATATGATTTCAGTTAACAGCTTCAGGGTCATAATGTAATGTATAACCTGCCTCGCAGTTCTTTTATACTACCTACAACAACACAATTAATGGGGCCTCAGGGGCTGGTCTGAGTCATATGATGGCGTAATGCACTTGTAGCAACTCATCCAAAAATAAATGCTTGCCATACATTAAAGCTGTAGAGAAAACACACAGCTCCCCAAGGATTTAACTTTGAGGACTGAATGTTCACTTGTTGCCTAATATACCCCACACACTGACAGGTGCCACTGTAACAGATAGTCACTGCTATTCACTTCACCTGCCAGTGGTCATAATGTTTTGCCTGATCAGTGTCCAGTTTGTACAGTTTATTCCTTTTGCTCCATTATTAGAAGCAGGAAGGTGTATGAGCCTTCAGCTTCACCTGTCACAGCCAGAAATGTGAAGCGCTCTCTGTTTAGTTCAATGATGGGTGCAGCAGGTTTTCTTGTGTGGTCAGTGTTGTTCCTTCACCATCAGCCAGGTGTTAAGTACCTGGGACTGGTCACTCTCTCAGCCACATATATGAAGGTAGTGTCAGGTTACAGCTGTTCCGTGTAATATTAGTCCTTCTCATTAGGTGTGTGAGTAAGTGCAAGACTGTGGTAGACTTAGAATGAAGTTAGTAAATCATATACCAGTGAGAGGTACATTATCAGTTTTGCTGTTATCAGATTTAGCAGCATCTTTAGTATTGGTGCTTTGGACTGCTTTTAAAGATGGGAGTGGTTTTGTTGTGTAACATACTAGCATCTTCAGCTGAAATAGTTGGGATGACAGGGCAGGTCTGCATTCTGCAGGGAGTCTGCAGTAACCCGTCATAATGTACATAGCGAGTACTGACCTGCCAACCAGCAGATCAATCCTGCTTCTCTGTTACTCAGCCACTCTTAAGGTAGAAGTGAGTAACTTTCATTATGGGTTGGCAAAGACTTCAGGTCATGCAAATTACCAGTGCACCATTTATTCAAATTCTAGATGTTTTGGTTTGTGTGGACAAGGCAGGACAACGACATTGATTTAAAAACTGGTCTGCACAAAATAACTGCATACTATTTGAGTTCCAACTGAATTTCAGTGGGGGGGGGGGTTTAAGGCCCCTACATGCTCTGTGATAAACCTGTAGGTTCACTTTCATGTCACACTGCAAGATGGGTCTGAGAAAAGTGGGGCTTCTCTGCTTCTGTTATTATTTACTGGATAACAGACATTGCATCATTTTTAAGACCATGCAAGGCAAAACCAGTGGGAACATCTGTAATAAAATCATTGGGTCAGACTGTGTGATGTAACGTCTGAATCGTATACTGAGCAGTGAAGGGTAAACTGTTGTACTACATTGTGAAAGGACAGAAGACATTAGTATGTTTCTAAAACAGCTGCCGACCTTTTTTGGCAACCTTTATTTTACTATAAAATGATGTGCATAGGGGCCTTAAGAATGAGAACAATGTCTGAATCAAGTTCAAGACACAAACCTAATCTAAATATGAGACTTATTGAAGTAAGGACACACGGTATGTTGGCAGTTGCACATACTGGTTGCATTTAAGTACACACATGCATTTAAGTGAACCAGGATACAGTTGTGTATTTCTAGCTATCTTCTCCAGTCAGCTGAATTCTTACCTGTCATGTAAACATGAAACATGGTTTCCCTGATCAATGTAGGGGATTAATGAAACCTAATTTCCTAAAGCAGATTTCTCATGGAGCACATCAATATCGCTGCCATGTATATGTGTATCACATTTCTAATTTTAAAAGTGCACGTCTGCTAACACAGTCTCTAAATGAGTTGTTTTCCCACAACTGAACATTTGAGCATTTGTTAAATTCGGACACTTTGTGGGGGGAAAAAAGTGCTATTCTGTCTGAGAAGATGAGGCAGATGCAGCAGAAAGTCAGGAAGCAGTGTCTTTTACAGATAAAATCTGAGAGCCATGCATCCAAAATAGGTTTGCAGTAGAGATGTGAATATTGATCAGCTGCATGGATGTGAGGATTTACAATAACCAGTTTATTGCAGTTCATGTAAATATACTGATTGTGTCAAGCCTTGCAGGTCCAGAACCAGAGCACTGCTGCTGTTCTAACCAAGTAGCTAATTTTTAATTGCAGTAATTGCCTTCACCATGTCTCAGGAGTAATTCAGTTCTCAATTAGAAGGCTGCAACAGAAAGTACCGCTGTGCCTCTGATTTAAAAACAGCCAAGCAAGACAAACAGCAGAACAAAAACAGGAAGATCTTTGTCTGGTTTAGTCAAAAACTGACCCACGGATCTGATGGCAACATTTTAACCTCGGAACATTTTCTTGTGTTTAGTTTTTCATTCATCAACTGAGCTAGTGCCAAATCAGTTCAGTTTGTTTTAAAGTCTCTTTCTAGACATTTACTCTTGTGTGGGCCAGTAGTGTTTGAGAATAAACAGATGCGTTGTGTATTGGTTAATGGTGGGAAACATCTTTGTTTGTAGCCTATTGTGCCAATAAAGAGCTTTTAAAGTGAAGAGAGCTCAAAGAGTTATACACGCGACAATGCTGCATTTGCAGAACGAGGATTTAAATGGACTCTAGCTGCTGAATATTATCGTGAGTGAGATGAGCAAAGGCTTTGTGTCTGCTCTTCCTCTTTTCACCTCTTTCAATCCCCCCCACCTGACAGGTATGGCAGAGTTGGCGAGTCTGGTGCAGCGGTTGGAGGTGGCGGTGGGCCGCCTGGAGGTTATGTCGGGCCCTGGGGGCAGCACTGGACCCTCTGCCGGGGGAGGTAATCATAAAGTGTCATTATTATGGAGTAATATGTGTTCAAGAATAAGATGTCTGAGAGATAACAAAGCCTAAATCTGCATTGAGTTTTACCACTTTCAAATTTAAATGGAAAAACTCTTTTCTGTCATTAATTTTCTTTTTAACATTTATTTCTGTTTGTGGATAATTTTCCATAATGGCCTTTTTTGAAATGTTTACGTAATTTTTTTCTGCCCTCCCTCCTTAAAAACAACAACTTTACAGCAGTATCAGTGTATGTTGAAGCCTTCGATGAGATCGTCAGCGGTCCTGTGGCCCAGTACATCTCCCTCAGCCAGAAGATAGGGGGCGATGTCCAGAAACATGTAGGTCACCGTTTTAGATGCGAAATGTTTCACTTTTGCACACCATGTTCTCCACTTTGAACCATATAAAGTATCATGCCAGTGTTTTGAATGATGATTGCTTTAACAAATTACTCAGGCAGCCCTAAAGATGGCAAAACTGACTTGCCTTTCATGATGCAAGTGTGGAGGCAGGAAAAACTAAATTAGAACTCTGGGGGGGGGGGGGGGGGGGGGGGGGGGCGGC